GACTAGCAGTTGCTTACAGTTGCGCGGACTGCGCTCTCAAGTAATACAACCCAGACGACAACAATCTACAGCCACGGGTACAAGTGAGATTAGTTCTCATAATATTAGATTTACAAGAAGTGATGGCAAATACGAAGAACCATCGTAGTTTTCCCTCTTTGTGTATACATGTTTTGTTCTTAAACAATGCCGAAAATGTAGCATTTAAGGCTTTTATTTTTATGTTTTTAGAGGTTTTTTTTCGCCATGGCGGGGTTAAGTGAGTTATTCCTTACGGCCTTTGTACTAGCCTAAAAACATTTTTTTTTTTTGCTGCAGTGGGGTGCGGGAGCACCCCCCCTCCCCCTTTCCCAGTACTTCTTGAACACCCCCGAACAACTGTTTCGACCGCCGTATTTGAAACCGTGTGCCTGTGTACTATGATGAAACAACTGCGGTCCTCTGATTGACAAAGAAGAATATGGAAATGTATTCCGCGTAAATCCTTGTTAGCAGAAGGCCTCGAGACCTGTAGATCCAACTAGTCTGAAAATTTCTCCAATTTGACCCCGGAGCGAAGAGGCCAACAGTGTTCTTCTTATTATGAAGTTAAGGCGAAGTATGAGTGTTGCAGTTTCAGCGGTCCAAGCGGGCTGCCAAAAAAAAAAAAAAATCTCGCCCATTTTGCTTCCACCCCTTCAACCGAGACAGTCGTAAGAGTGTGCAATTTTAAATCAAGCACGGCCGTGATTTGGGATTAAACATGCTTTGCTGGGTCAATTAATGTCTGAGCTTAGCTGTTGTTTGCGACATTTATGAAAGCGAGAAAAGGCCTTATGAGAACGCGTAGTTTTTGCCTAAACAGAAATACAAGCAATCAAACCCTTGCGTTGTCGCTCCATTCTAGGTCAAGATTGCCTATGATCAGAAACGCACTTATTCATAACAGGATACCAAATAACTCATTTGTTCAATTATTTTTTTTTTAATTTTAAAGTTTTTTTTTTTGTTTGGATTGGCTTGCGTTTAATGCAATTATCTTTAAAAATGTTATTTTTTTTCTCATTTATATGGTAATTTTGGTATAAAGGAAATTGTCTTCTACCTCGGAGTTAGGGAATTAGGGTAAAAAGAAGCTAGCAATGTGGCAACACCTAAGTACTCTCTACATAGGTGTGACGCAGTCGCAGAGTGAAGGGATAGGCGTCATGGGAGCTCTACGCCGCGATAAGTTGAGTTTAAAGTTGTATGAAAGTGTCGCATTTCTCGCCCCGTAGCGCCCACAATTTTTTCACGTCACGGTTACACTATAATAAAGCTGAGAGCCACTTCTCCAACCAGATTACGCGTTACAAATTTGTACACAAAAAGAGAATTAAAACGTTCAGTAGTTAATCACCCAGCTAGTAATCAATTTCTCCTCTTTTCTAAGGGCACCCATAGCCACCAACTTGGCTCTTGGTCTAAATGAGCCTTCACCAGAGGAGATAATAATGTTGTAAATACGGATCTCTTTGAATTTGAGACACTCGATGCCAGTTTCGCAGGGAAGTGTGCGCCCCATATTCGCAACTTCTCGTTTTTAATTTTGAAAATGCCAGTTTCTGGTGTTAGGAGACACGCGCACGTTTAGGAAGAGTAGAAGAGTTAGGAATGCCGGATATGCAACGTCGCCCATGATAGTTCTGTTTAGTTTATGCAGATAGATGAAAACCGAGAAATAACGCTTATTAAAGCGCAATATTATTTTGTTTCGACACAAACTATTTGTGAGCCGAAAACCGGATTGCTATAAAAGCGACGAGTGCTTTAACGTACTTGTCAGTCAACGTTTCAACTGCCTCGTTGCATCACTGTAAAGATCAAATAAAAACCACGGTATCAAGAATGTACCGCATCATTTGTCACTTGCACAGTTTCCTGCGTCAAATCCTGGTCGATACTGTTCTTGAGGTATAAAATAATGAAGAGAGCCTGATTTGCATTGCATGCATCAGGCGGCTACGCTCAGCCATACACAGAGGCTACACGTATAAGAACCCTCGTACGAAGTCCAACCGCGGAAGGTGGAGGAAGTGGCCGACTGGGCTAACGCGCCTCAGCTCGGAGCGTGGAGCGAAAGCTTGAGCTGCGAACCTCCTGGGGTTGATCCCCGCCACCCCCGCCCGTTTCGATCTGGATGAGTTTCGTACCGGTTCGCGTTCGTGTAATCACTACTGCGTGATGTACATTAAAAAAAAACAGGTTAGCGGTTGTACTGCACTGGCTAAATTTCTCATCTACAGTTAAGGGACCGATTACCCGTTGAAGCGCATCTCCATGAAGGCTCCATAAACATACAGAGCAAACCAATTTTTTTTCCCAACCGCCAAACCTCGCTCGCATGCACAAAATTTCGTTCGCGGTGATGAACGCAGTTCCCAGGGTCTTCAAACTCTCTTAACCTGCTCTCTACCTACGGGGCAGCGTGCACATCGAAGCGCCGCTTAGTTACGCATTAAATAAACGCATTCAACCGGAGTCTGATAAAAAAAAAACACAGTTATGAAGCCTGACAGACGCAGTCACCATATACTCCGCACCTCGCCGTAACCGCTGGTAGTATTACAGCGCACGATGGTAACCGCGTGGCCTCACGGCGTCCATTTGCAATGCTGTCGCCCCGTCGCGACCACTCTGGTCGCGCCTAATGTAGCGCCAGTCGCGCCGTCGCGTTCTCGTGAGTACGCAGACGTTTTTTGAAATTTCGCCTGATCTTAGCCGAACTTTTCGTTCCGCAGAATCGGTGCGTCAATAGCAGAAAGTGAGGGAGTGTAGGAGACGAGAGCACGTGGTGGGCGACAGCACACCGTCAGAACACATTTCTGGAATGAGTAGTGGGTAGACTCAAAGCCAGTTGCTTTTCTCTCGACTCAATCTTGAAACGCGTTCGAGCGCCGAACGCCGGCGTCTGGTGTTTGGCTTTCGGTGTTCGAACGTGTTCGAAATGCGAGTGGAGACGACGGCAGCCAGCTTTACGTGTCACTAATGATTCCAACCGGAGCTCTATGTTCCGACCTTCCCTCGCGCTATCATGTCCTCCTCTCCCTTAATGTTTACCCCCATTGCGTGCGTGCGACCGCGATAGCAACCAGGGGGACAGGAGAGGACGTTCGATTTCATTGGGAACGTGGCACATACTGTATGACATATTCAGGCGTGGTACGCCGAAGGTAGCGGGACGCGGAAGCGAAAGGCAGTCGGGCTAGGGGACCGAGCTTTTCAATTCTTTCCACCTTGCCTGACCTCCTGCCCTAGGCTAGCCGTCAACTCGATAGGAGGCTGGTGTGCGTGTTTACGCGGGGAACCTCTGAAGTTCTTAACAGCGCCGTCTGACCCTAAAACGCCACCCCGAATTCCAGGCTCCTTCCCTTCGTGTCAAGTAATAACGAAGCTAGCTACGTGGCGTTGCCAAGACGGACGCGTCTCTGCGGCTTCCTGAGGACCCTCATCGAGCTTTGGACGGCAGGTCGGAGATATCTACTAGCGACGAGGTCATGCGCAGCTCTTTTCTTCTAGGTGGTAATGTTTCAAGTCTCCACACATCAATTCACCACCGGCTCGACCTCGCCCTCCCGCACGTCGGCACCTCACCCAGTACCCGCGCACTGCAAATCAGCCAAGTGATAATTGTTCTCTCACTGAAGTTGTTTTCTGGGATTTTATTTGTAGACTTGTAATGCTATTTGAAGTCATCACTTTACGACGCTTTTTTTTGTATCTTTCTAAAGAGTATATATTTTGTCATTTTTTTTCGCGTAAATAGTATTATTTTGTTCATGTGTATTAAACAGCCTCGTCGCCCTTTTGTACGGGAATTACGACACGACAATGTTTAACTCTGAAAAAGAAACCTTTTAAATCATTACAACGTCTATGGGTCAGCGTCTCTATTGACAATGCATTTTCTTCTATCGGGTAAACTTTCCGTTTACTCTTGGAACCGGCGATTACCTGCGCCTTGCTTTTCATCACATAAAACCCCGACGAGGAAGATAAATTTTGGCATCGATTTTAGTCTTTTATCTGGCAACAGTTAAACAACACTGTGCATGGAATAGGCAAACTTTGAGATATTTAGCCATTAATATTGGAGCCTACACTCAGGACACGATGTGCAGTTCCGAAAGTGACACCGTAGAGCCCTTAGAATCGTAAAATTACACGTTTCAAATGTGTGAAACGAGCAAAATCAATAAATAGGAAAGATATTTTCTGCTTCTTGGTACATGAACGGTTTAGACATTTCGGAAGAATTTGCTGATCAGAAACATATTTACACAAGCACCTCGACTTTCCTAAAAATGTATCCCTGCCGAATCACAGGATATATTGCGGCTAATGTTTTCTTCTAAAGATATTAGTGTAGTTAAAACCAAAGTGGCGAAAAAAGAAAGCGTCATCTAAAAACAGCTGGTCGTCCTGAGAAGTAAGAGTTGTGACAAGGATCAGCAGTTACCATTTTAAGTCTCGACTTTTATTTCCAAACTTACCTACAACTGTGGTCACCAACAGCTTAATTAACTTAGGGCGTGGGTTGTTCTGCGCATCTTATTATTTCTCCGCAGCCAATGAGATCCCATCATTAGCCGATGAGAACGCCGAAAAACGAATTACGAAGCAACGAGTGCGAACGCCATAAGCCATGCCCACTAGCTCCGTTCTTTGAGCCGTAGGTGACTACAGGATATAATTTAGTTTATCGCCAACATAAACAGAATGTATATGTAAATTCTTTTGGGAGAACATGCGAAACATTTGAGGTTTTTGAACCTAAATCGTCGAAGTTACCAGAGCCGGAAACGACAACGAGCAAAGTTCAACAACTGGAAATGCGTCACACACGTTTTTGTAAAGAATATACATGCACATGCTATTTACGTATGAGTATGTCTTTATTAAACAAAACAAAACGTCACGCGTATTTTTTTTATTCGTTTCCTTTAAGACTTTTAATTATAAAAGCTTGAGAAGCCGTGTGCTCAGTGTCAGCTATGAACACCATGATCCCTGTAAAATGTTTTCTTGTGTTTGCAATGCTGCCGATGACATGCCTTATGCGTAAGTATTGTAGAGTTAAACAGCTTTTATAGAGCATATTACTGTCTAGGCTGAAGCCAGCTACAAGCGCGCGTCACCTTGCACATTCGCGTAATTAGTAACTTTGGAATCATTGCGTTAAAGCTATTTAACGTGCTCCGTCTTGACTCAAAAACGAAACGCCTAAGCATAAAACGCAAGCTACTAAGTATTACATAATATTCTTGAGCGCTAGCAGTATTAATTTATTGTTCTTTTGCTAAGGGTGTTCGTGAAGTCCGCGATATCTCAATAAATGATTTGGACGGTAACAATTCGGAAAGTATGCCACGCGAGGCTCTCTATATCGTTATTGTCTAAAACATTTGACAATTAATGATAGTCGTAGTATGCACCTATCCTTAAAAGCTATCTAAGCCAGCACCTCTGTCTGGAAACGTTTTTCTTAGCTTCGTATGTTGTCATCGAGTTGAAAAAAAAAACGTATTTCAAGGTACAAGTTACGAGGTCGTCCTAAATGTAATTCCATATTTAGTAAAAAAACTTTATTTCTTAAATGTTCGGTTTATTAGCGAGTAAATTCACATCATCCGAGAAATATTGGTTGTTTCTGAAGTCCTGACATTTGTGCACAGCGAACTTATCCCGAATAAAAAAATTTAAACACTAGAATGATTTAAACCTTTCGTTGGTTAAAATATTTAAAGCGAAAGACCATAGGTATAGATAGGTAGGTATCTCTAGACCATACTATCTATACCATAGGTATAGATAGATAGGTATATCTAGACCAGATAGTCTAGAGATACCTATCTTATCTCATGAAACACTAACAAATGAACGTTTCCGATGCTATCGCGAAATTTTAGAAAGTGTGAGCACTGCGGGTCTGATATGCTGTACACGGAAAGACCCTAACCATGTTCGGTGCACTGCCTACCAATACGCACCAATAATCAGATTCGCTGCTTAACGGTGTATAGTCACGCACACGCCAACATACAGCGGCTCCCGAGAGAAAATTTCTCTGCTTGACTATCGGCTCCTGAGAGCATCGGATTACGATACCCGATTAAGGTGCCGCGTCGTCGTCGGAGGAACTTGCGGCACACTTGCATCTGGTCCACGGAATATCCACGTTGCGTAACATTGGATAATGACCTCATGGCTGACCATCGCACCACGGATGCTGCTCTCTCGTCGTATTGCCTCGTGATTTCACCAGTTTATGCCACCGCGAGTTAATCCCTACGCTCGAGGGTATAAGAGAATACGTTGCAAGTGTAGCAGGGAGGCTGAACCGGGGGACTTCATAACAGAATGGCACCTCACTATGTAAGACTGCCCCCTCGTCTTGGGACCTATCCTAACTAAATAAAAAGTTAGTGTTTTGGCCAACCGTTTCAGACCATTTTTAACTTGGAGCAACCCAAGACGCTGCATTGGTGACCTATAGTGACGTGCAAACCATGTTAAACAGTTCAGTTTCATGGTGACATGAGATGTTCCCAACACGAGCAAAAAGTAGATGTTCGAATTGTAAAGTTGTGCTTTAGCAGTTTCGCGAGATCTATACCTGGTAGACCTGGCGTTGTTGCCAGCGTTCCAGTCACCTGCTCGAATTTCATAATAAGTTGCTTGTGTTCAGTTTTGTCAATGGCAAACGTTCACAGATTTCCTCGATCCTTCTTATGGTGGTCGTAATGAGAATAATATATATTAAAATGAACGTTTTCTCTCCGAGAACCATCTCAACGTTGATCTGCTGAGGTCTTAGTAGTCACATCACAGCGCTGTTGCAATGAGAAATATTGACATACTCTGCCCGAATTGCTTCGCATGCCTGGGCGGGCAACCTTCTGCTTCCTGTGCCAGCGACTTAATCTCAAATTCGTCCCCAGCTTAATGCTACTCTCAGGCATTATGCGCTCACAGACTTTGAGGAAGGAATTCTTGGCGGCGTACTAAACACTACTTCACGAACGTTTCCATTGGAGAAAAACAAAAAATTTAGTCAGTCGAAATTAAAAATAGACCTAGGCAAACTAGAAGTGGCATTCAGTTGAAAATCCCAAGAAATGAATTAGCTAAATGCCTATTACACGAATAGAAGGAACTGAAATTTCCAGCTTTTTGATTATTTTTCCGTGTGGTGAGTGGTGGGTCAAGCTGCGTCAAATTGTTGTCACGGCGGTGTGCTATCACACGTCAGCGAAAGATACTCATATCAGCGTTACGTTACTTGAGGTGAAAATATTGATTCCCCAAAGCATCAAAATAAGTGCTGTGAAAGTGAAGAAACTACAGACTCACTTTGGTGCGCGGAAATTGTGATATCTTTACTGCGGATAAAAGGTTAGTGTCGAAGTATAATTTACTGCACGGAGAACACCAATATAAAAAAGTAATTTATTAAAGAGGAACAGGTATCGCATTTGGACACTGCGTAATACACAAGGACACTCTTGAATGTATAAATCAAAGTGCAAAGATGAAACGTGCCATGAAAGTCGTTGGGGATTGAAGGAGGAAAACTTTAGTCAAAATATACGTAACACGATCTATTTGGCAGAAGAATCTGATGTTTCTGAAAGCCACTACAAAGACTGAATCAGAGATCAGATTTTATTCATTCCGTTCATAAAAGGAAGAAAAACAACTTAGATCAAAAAGTGTGTGCCTACCTGTGCTGTCGCAATTTTTATCTTTGTTTAACTATTGAATCTAAGATTATCTTAAAAAGCAAAAGCTAATGTTCATGAGCTTTGTCATAGCTGACCTCATTAGATCCACGCTGAGGCGCTTCACAGAGCGCAGACTTCTGATGTTTCTCCCTTTTATGTCGACCATCGTAAGGAGACTCGACCAGATTTTTGAACGTGAGCAATTGAGAAATCTGAACACAGGCAACTTCCAATGAGACAAAAAATAATAATAATAAAATAACTGAAGCAGGGGTTGGGGCTAGAATGCTATCTAGATCTCCAGAAATTGTAGATATTGTCTTCTGGTTTTTAAGAGCCGTTGGGATCGAGTCATACGCTCCTCGGGAGCGAAATAACATGACAAGCAGAATAACGCAGATAAGACAACATAAGAAAAAAAAATACTTATTGAATAAACCCAGATAGAATACAATATACACCCCGAATCACGTTTCTACATTCTAATTAAAGGAAAAAAGAAATGAAAGCCGTTTACAAATCCCTGTAACGCCTAATTGGAGCGCAGCTCTTGAGGAGGAGTAGGGAAGGGTACTGAGGGGGGTCACGTCACCTGCGGGTAGTCACGTGACCCCGGGGGGTCATGTGATCTCGGGGGAGGGGGGTCACGTGACCTCGGGGGGGGGGGGGGTCACGTGACCCCCCCCCGGTTACGCCGACGCCGACGCCGACGCCGCTCAGGCTGGAAACGGGCCCCTAAGAGCTGCGCTCTAAAACACGCATAGCCATTGGTGTCGGAACAAGGGAGGAGTCGAGGGGTGGCTTCGCGCTGCGATCGCCAGGGAGCAGGACCGCGCAAGCAAAGATCCGCTGCGATAAGAAACCCAAACCTAGAAAAGCGTCCAAACTGAGCGTTTTTTTTTTCTTTTTTTCAGAACGCAATAAGATGCTTCCGCTGCGTTATATTGTCCCAAAAATAGTTGACTTAGTGGTTTTGAATGACGCTCACCAAGTTACGCATTAGAACCCTCTCTCTATTTTCACCAAATAAAAATAATTTAGCAGGTTTTAGTTAATTAACCGACTAGCCCAGACGACTAGCCCTCTATACTATGGTCCACTGGCCCTAAACTCACCTGCACAAACGAAGTAACTGTAGGTTCCACGTTTTTTTTTAACAAATCTGTAAACGTAAAAAAACACCATGTATATATAGGCAAATCAAAATACCCAACCGAACACGAGTGTCCGATATCTAGTGAAATCACTCATCTATTGGAGCTGCCAAATATATGTGCTATTGTTTTCTTGATGTCGGGCGTCCAACCGTATTTTCACAGCTTATATTATGTGCTTCTTCCATTTCCGACACACCCAGAATTTGATCTTTTTCGATCTTTACAGTGACGGCTTCTTTTTAAACTTTACGGAAAAATGCACTAGAAGAAAAATAGTTTTAGATAATATTTGAAGTTACACATGGCGTGTTATTACTTCGGCTGCTTTCGTGAAATGTACTCTTCGTCATATTTTCTTTTCAAAACTTCAGTACACCTCTTTTTTTCAGTGCAAAATAAATTGCCGAAAGTATGCACGCCTGTAAATTTTGACAGCTTCTATAACACCGGAAAAAATACCAGTTTAGCAAATGTACTGGGAATGTATTGCAACGCCTCCTATATAAAGGACCATCTTAGTGGACCATGGATTGGAATTGTAAGTTTCAAAGCAGGTTGTAGTGGTGTTAAATTTATTGCTGCTTAAACTGCCTTAGGCGCTTGCATGCATAATTGTTTTTACTATAACCATATACTGATTATCTAAATCGGATACGCAACCCACTTATATGCCTTTCTATACCTCCAGGCAGGTCCAGGAATAACACGTTGCACAGTCTGCTGTGTGCATAAATTGGATAATGGGACACTACTTTACAAAGAAACAAAAGCCCCAAAGCAATTTCCCTGTGGCAAAGACAAGGTAACATATACTATTTTTTATTGTAATTTTTTGGAGCTGCTTTAAATTAACAAATATATAAGCACCCATAAATTGGTACTTGAATAGAGTAGTAGCCTTGTGTAGCGTAATCATGGTGTTTCCAACATGTTTCGCGGCATTGTTTTTTTTATTTGTGCCCAAGATTATTTTATTTAGGGGAATTTCAAACGCTTTCATAAATATTAGTCCTGAGTGACACAGCTGATTTCTAGTTTAAGATATGAACGTCCAAATATATTTCCTCCGTATTACTAGAGATTTGCATATCCCCGGATTACCCCCGGATCACCAGCGGATATCCCCACTCAACTGGTGGATGCGGATAGGATTCGAATCAGATTTAGCAGATTGCGGATAGGATGGGGATGCCAGGGGCTGCGGATGAGGATCGGATGTGTCCGGATCTACATCTTTGCCGAGGCGGCCCATAACCATGCGCGACTGCAGTGTATAGGGACGATCTATTAACGTGCATGCGATCATCTTCCGAGCAGTGCGAAGTATCTCTAGAAGAATGATTGCTTATAACATATAAATAAAATGACTTTCACCATATTCTGACATGAAACGTTTCTTTGAACAAAAGTTAGCAAGCGTTTGTTAGGACACCATCTATAAGCTTTATATATATATATATATATATATATATATCCATGCTTGAGTTCATGATGCAAGTTCAACGCGGGAATTGCGGGTCGAATAGGGTTCGGATGCGTATAAAAAGTCTGCGGATGTGGATCAGATGCGGATGATCAAACTGTTATCCGTGCACGGCTCTATATATTACCTATAAACTCATGTATTGTGCTTCTATTAATTACTACTTTTGTTCTGCACGCGTAGTATCGACGACGCCAAAGAATAAATTCAAGGGTATCCGGGTCTTCTTTTTTGAGTTCCCTTCTTTTCATTTTGTTTTTCTAGTAATTTTGACAGAATATTTCAAACATGTGCACGGTTATAATATTATAAACGGTGCAATCGGGTGTACACGCATGTTGTTGCTAAGAATTTGTGAGCTTGTGATCTAAAGCTGTTCATACACGTAGTAAAACCTTGTACTATTTACATTAACACAATTTTGATAACTGCTTACCTTGTACTATTTACATTAGCACAATATTGCTAACTGCCTAAGTAGAATTTTTTGTTTCCATATCTTCGCGTGTATAGTCAAACATCAACAACAACCAAAATTACAGGAGAACGCTCAAGACTGCTTACAAGTAGGAATGCGAGAGCATTATAGTCCCAAGGGTGAAATGTTTTCGAGTAATGTTGCTACACGTGTTAAAGACTTCGCGGCTTCCGCGACGAAGCATCGGCGTTGCCGTGCACATATCAAGGACAACGTGAAGGAAGACGTCTAGAAGGACGTCAAGAACGACGTCAAGAACGACCTCTAGGACGACCTTTAGGATGACATATAGGACGACGTCCTGGAGATTGACGCCAAGTACGGCGTCTAGGACGACCTCTAGGACGACGTCTAGCACGACGTCAAGTACGGCGTCTAGGGCGACCTCTAGGACGACCTCAAGGATGACGCCAGGGGCAGCGTGGTCCTTGAGGACACTATTCAGCGGCGCGTGGTAACGTCAGGCCAGCGCATACCCGCGTCGCCCTTCCCGCTGCGCTGCCAGCAGTTTGACTGGCCCCTTAGCAACGATGGGGCCATTGCAATGGAGCCAGATGACACGTCGCAGCCAATGGCAGATTTCGGTGGATATACGAAGCCGTCGTCTGTCCAATGGAAAGTTGATGCTTTCGCACTAAAAAAGCACGAGGCCGAGTTGGTAGCACTCGCGTGTTCTACACGGGAGATTCAGTATCGAATCCCGCAAGCCCCATTTTTTATTTAAAATTATGTTGCTTCTCAGCGAATTCACAGTGAAATCTGCGTAGTTACTGTGTGCTCGGATATAAAATATTTGTGAACATACAACATGTAGCAGCCTCATCAAATGAGTCTTATACGCTTGTGCTCGATCCTGCTATTACGGCGACATTGACGTCTTTGACACCAATTAATGCATTTTCGGCAGTTATGCAAGTTTATCATACTAAACCTATAAGTTCCAAGTTACTCTTCGTTTTCCAGATGTAGTTTTTGGCAATCCATTGCTCATTTATTTTACAACACCTCAGAGCCGAACACAATGCGGCCGCAAGGCAACATGGAGAAAATAACTATACTCCGTTTTACCGTCATGCACAGTATTAAAAAAAGACCAGCTCTCGAGATGCATTACTAAGTTCCCACTTTATGTAGAGAATTAATATATATGTAGGTGCATTTTAGATTAGATATATGTTATCTTATTCAGACGTACATGTTTCAAACACCAAAAGCATCGCTTCTTCCTCCGACAACCAAATCGAGTAGGAACTTCGGGCGGAATATGAACAATGCGCAAAACTTAATTTGGCATATATGGAAAAGAGAATAGTGTACACGAATATGTGCAGATAATCGATACTTTTGTATATTATTAAAAAAATGGAATGTCATACTTTTTTTTTTTTTTTTTCAGAAATGCAACGCACACAGAAGATGCGTCAAAATACAGAAAACATGAAGTCCCGCCACTCAAACTTGAGCGTGTTAACATTAGAGACATCGTTCTTTTTTGGCTGCTGTCTGATCAGTAATCTGTAATCTGTTCAATAATAAATAAAATATTACATAACTAACGCTTTATTATTGTCGAATGATAAGGCCGCTGCATTTTCAGGAAAGTACGACTACATATTATGCAAAATATTTTGCAAACGGCCTTTAAAGAAATAAAAACAATTCAACATATTATAAACGGCACAATGACTCAATACTCGTCATAAGTTATCCCGGGACCCAGCCACAACAATTACGCCAAAATTACAATTAATTGGACTCCACAAACACTGCACTGAACCTTGCATACATAGATGTTATTAAAGGCTGAAGTAAGCAAACTGTGTAAAAATTGATACGTTATTTTTTTACGAACTAGTAAATGGAGGTTTAGTTGATTCTCAGATTCTTTTAATTTATATAATAATGGGCTGAACTATCTGTGTGTTTTGTACTAAAGAATTTTGTTTTCTTTATTTTTATTCCGCACACGTAATAAAATAAATAAACAAAAAAAATCCTATCCACGCAACTCGAAGTACCCTGGGTGGTGCCGGTTGGTGGGCTTGGATACTTCGGTCATTGGAGCAACTTCTGCTGTGCATTCCATCGCCTACAGGATGTATAAGGGTTGTGGGCTGGTGTTTTTTTTTTTTTTTTTTGGGCTAGTCCGTCCTTCCCGTTGTCGCTGTTCAATCAAAAAATACTGTGCTTATACTTTCCCGGCATTCACTTAGGAGAAGGACATAAGGGCAGGAGGAGAAAACACTGAGGTTAACCAGGTGGCCTGCCTCGGTGGCTATTCTGAGTTGGCGAAGGGGATGAGGAGATAAAAGAAGGAAAGTTAAGTGCTGATATATACAGAGGTAGCTGTCGAATGACGACGCTGAAAATATTATATACCAGATGAATGATATGCGTTGTGACAGTGAGCATAACGTAACCACGTGAAACGTCAAACCAATTGCACATCGCAGACAGTTCTTTTTTTTTTCTTTTAGGTTTGATAATACATTCAGCCTCGTCATTCGACGAGTTTTATTCTAGATTGCCCCGGTTGCGCTTTCCCAAATACTTTGCGGTATATTAATCGCTCCAGGTGTTCTAAGGTGCAATCCTTGACTGAGCCTATACCCAAGTAGGAGATTGGTCAATCTCCCCTTGTTCAACCTCCTCGAGCCCTTCAAAAATCGTCATATTTATGCTCTCTTCGCTATGATTCGCGACTCTTTTTTTCCATCGAATTTCCGTTGCTTTTTAGTCACACTAATGAAATACCGCCTTAAGTTTAAGCAAACACTAACGTGCAAATGTATATTCCTTCGTGCGGTCTAAAGACAAAAATATCCCTGTAACTTATCAACAAGCTCCGATTCGTAGCGACTAAAGTAATTCACTGCTATATTCTGGGTGGACCATGCTCCACTTTATTAGAGTCAAACAGCAGCCTACACTACAGTTCAATGGCGTCAATCAATCATCATCGAAAGTGCATCCACATGGTGCTCATGAACCCCTGAGCGTTTTCTATCACCTATTAAACCAGTCACGCGCAGTGAATGCGCCCCGATATCCTGCACTTTGTTTCTTCCTGATTACATGAGCCGGTGATGGCATGCATGCCCATCAAAGACAACGAGTGTGACGATGCAACTTTAGCGCTGGTCGATTGGTTCTTTTGGATTGTATAGCGTCGGCAACAATGGGAATCAAACATGGTATAGATATGCCTTAGTTGAAATTTGTATTCCTGCAATGATAAACTTGAGCGCATCACACGGCTGTTCAGTCGTTTGTTTAAGCACTGCAACGACCAATGGTATTTGAACATAATGAGAAACAACACTCAAAGAAACAAGCCAAAAAGGAAGGGGAAAAAAACACGCGCTGAACAAGGTGGAGGTCTTCACGATTTTGCGTGTCATGATCAACGATCGCTAACTAGAACAACAATTAGTTGTTCACAACAATGTAACAACAGTTGAGAGACGATATGCTTGTATCACAATATGAGTGCCGTACAGAAAGAGGTGAAGCTTTTTCTCCACTCGTAGTAGCGCCGAACTCTGTCATTCAATTGTGAAAAAAAAAATTACTTCCCCCATAAACGAGTAGCTTACTGGAATATGCGATTGGATGCATTGTCCCTTCGTATTTCCAACATGAGCACCTCAGCTAGCCTACGCTCGATCAGGCGGGGCCTGATCGGGCGTAGGCTAAAAGGCCAGCTATAAATTAAAACGAAAACCCTTTATTTATACTAGGTGAACCATTCTACATTACACAGGTGCTGGGTTTTTCTATTAAAAATATTACGCATTGTTTTTTCATCGTTTAAAATATAGCGCTTCGGAACGCACAGATCTGGCTGATTTGACCTTTCGAAACAAATTGTTCATCTGCTGCTATGTTATAACTTTAAACTTTTACTAATCAATATTTCTCATGCTTTTCTAGAAATGATCTATCATCCAAATAATATTTCCTGCTATACAGGGTGATACGAGGAGACGCCGGGATCTTTAAATCGACCGGAAAATTCGGTTTCTTAACCTATCGCGCTACGACTTTGTGCAGCGTTGCCCACAGATGGTACATTTTTTTTTTATTTGTAGAATTCGCAAAGAGCGAACTTACCTGAGGAAAAAGTAAAGAAAGAAAAAGGCTTAGCTCATATGGAAACGCAGCGACGCCACCGGTCTGCAAACAACGCGGCGCCGTTTCGCACGGGACACAAGAGATGGCGCAACGAACGCCGCCAACGAACGAGCATACGGCGCCGAGAGCCAGCGTCTTTAGCAGACGATCTTTTCTACACAAAAGCGGCGCGCGTTCCGCAGGCGGCGACAGTCGCAGAAACAAAAACAGGCGCGGTAACAACAAGGAAAACCAGTTTCTTGTCTGCTAAATACGCCGGCTCTCGGCGTCGTCTGCTCGTTCGTTGGCGGCAGTTGGCGTCGCGACCGCTTGCGCCATCTCTTGTGTCCCGTGCGAAACGGCGTTGTGTTGTTTGAAGGCCAGTGGCGTCGCTGCGTTTCCATAGGAGCTAAGCTTTTTTCTTTCTTTACTTTTTTCTTAGGTAAGTTCGCTCTTCGCAAATTTTACAAAAAAGAAAATGCGCCATCTGTGGGCAACGCTGCACAAAGTCGTAGCGCGATAGGTCAGTGATTATTCTAAAAGGGCTCCCGTATAAGTACGGGCGGAACTTCGTAATGGGGGCCCAGACGACGGCAAAAAATTCCTTCTAGGTCGTCGAATAATTTCGCCCCTCGTTTGACAACGTCCTACTGGTGTAGGCAATCACTTGCTTTGTACCCTCTTGTCGTTGGGCCAGTACCGCGCCGAGTCCTGTATTGCTGATGCTCGTGTGAGCTTCTGTTTCGGCTGATTGGCCGAAGTGGCCAAGGATCGCTGGCGAAGAGAGTCGTAGCTTTAGTTCGTCGAATGCTTGTTGTTGTTCTCGCCATCCGAAGTTCACAGCGTCTTTCGTGATGTGAGTGAGAGGCGCCGGAAACTTGGAGAAATCCTGAACGAACCGCCTGTAGTACGCGCAAAGTCGCAGGAATCTTCGGACGGCCCTCTTGTCTGTGGGCGCTGGAAATGCCGCTACGGCTCGAGACCTCTCAAAACCAGGACGAACATCTGCGTTCGTCACAACGTGGCCTAGGAACTTCAGTTCGCTGTAGGCGAACCGGCACTTTGTCGGCTTGAGGGTGAGTCCGGCGGTCCGGATTGCCTGAAGAACGGCCTGTAGGCGTCGCAAGTGCTCGTCGAAGTTGGTCGAGAGTACAAGTTCGTCGAGGTAAACGAGAAAGCTTGCCATTTTGAAACCTGCCAGTACGGTGTCCATGAAACGCTGAAAATTTGCTGACTGGCGCCGTCCACAGTCCGAGGGTCATCACCTTGAACTCCCACAGTCTATATCGGATGTGACTAAAGCATTATTGTTGCGAAACGCGGCAACTATCCCGTTTGAAACTGAAAACTTAATGGGCGAACTTGGGCCAAACAAAATAAAGAACTGGCGTCGAAACAGCGGAAAGCCAGCGGGGATTTGACGGCGTAACAGCGAGCAAGAGCGAGACTGACTCGACAAAGTTACGCGCAGCTTCTTATTCAGTATGAGTCGGTAGGTCGAAAATCCGGCTCAGAAATTTCGAGCCTCAAGCGTTTGGGGTGAGAATGAACTTGCACTTTCGAGCACAAAAGAGTTGGTCGAAATAATAAAAGTTACGTCCCGGGTAAGAATAAACAGGAATCTTCTAGAAGACCGTGATCGAGCGTTGATTGCTCGGCCCCGCGTGCGGCAATATAAAGAACCATTCCTTAGAAATAGAAGGTACATTTGATATCGCAAATACCGCAAAACGTTCGCGCTAGTGAGATGTAGCTTCAGGGCCATCTCAGAGGTGGCGCCAGCGGGACAGTGTGTTGTCTCGTCGTAAGAAGTCATGAAAACTCGGTCCTGAGCATATGAAGTGAATGAAAGGGTCAAAGTCAAATTTGGGGGTTTTACGTGCCAAACCAACGACGGGCATCTGGCACGCCCCAGCGGAGGACTGAGGATTAATTTGGACCACCTGGGGATCTTTTGACGTGCAACCGAAAGCTCGGTTACACGGCGTCTTCTCCGCAATAAGCCTCCGTCAAATTGCGGGCACCTCGGCCGGGATTCGAACCCGCCACATGGGGATCCGTAGGCCGACGCTCTCGCCTCGGAGCCACCGAGGTGGCTAATGAAAGGGTCACAAATGTTTAAAACAGCATACAAAAATGTATTCAAAGATGTAGAATAAATTAGTCGAATGCAAAAAGAACAAATTCTGGCTTCCAAAAGCGTTCCGGCTTTAAGTCGGAAGTTATTTTATTTCGAATATCTTGGGTAGTTTAGGAAGATTCACTTAGCACACATGTTTGAGAAAGTGCCACAACTTATTTTATTGCATTAAGAGTAGGCCGGGCTCTTTCAGGGGCCAGAATTTGGTGGAAGTATATTTTCATTTCTACTATAGGAATATCTTTTTTTAGTAAATAATTATAAAAAAATTTTTACCGGTATCGCGATTGGAAAA